CTTAAGGAACTATATGTTATTGTTAAGTATCATCAAGTTGGTTCTGGCTCAAAGTGAGCCTGTACAGTTACCAAGGAGCTGGTTTGAACTGCTGACCTTGTGGTTACCAGTCCAGTGCTTATCTTTTGGCACCAAACCAGGACTCCAAGGAATTATCTATATAGATCAAATTGACCACCTCCAGAGATTAGATAGAAATCTTAAGGGATAGTGAGTTTACGCTAAAGAGGGATGAACAACTCTGAGGATGAGGAGAACGCTTGCACAACCAAAAGAATGTAGCCAATGTTACTCAACAACACAGGTAGAAACTGTATGTTTTTCTATGTATATTCTCAACACCATCAACAAAATAAGTAAAACAATGTCGTTAGGGGCTGTCAGTCAAGTTGGTACAGACTTACAGTGCCCTATGTGGGAGAAAGATGAGGTGTTCTGCTCCCATAAAGATTTACAGCCTTGGAAACCCTGTGCAGAACCAACTCCATGGTACTTAACAACAACAACAACAATACACAGTAGAATGAAACACTGCCTGGTCCTGCACCAACCTCAAAATTGTTGCTATACTTGAGCTCCACCTCGTGGGGGGAGGGGGGCTTCCTCTGTTCACTGACCCTCCACTTTAGCAAGCATGGGGTTCTTCTACAGGGACTCTTCAAATACATGTGAAAATCCTCAAAGGAACCAGAAAAAAAGAGAGATGTAGAAAGGACTTTCCAACTGGCGAGAGACCTATCAGATCTGCGCAATGTTTCACCAGGCTAGGAAAGTCTGTGGCATAGTCTCAGAATCCTGTAACAAGCAAAGACCCCGCTGTTGTTGTTGAGTGCTGTCGAGTCGGTTCCGACACAGCAACCCGGTGTAAGGTTTCCGAGGAGCTATTGGTGAACTTAAATTGCCGATCTTGCAGTCCAATGCATTAAGCTACAACGCCACACCAGGACTACAAAGACCCTGTAGGAGCTACTAAAAGGTTAGCTATTTAAAATTGTTTTAGATGTACTGTTGAATTTTTTCAAGTCTCCCTCACAGAATCTCTCTAGCCTCCAATTCTCAATTTTTCACCCTTGCATTAAAAAAAGACACACATTTATGCTTAATATGTACCCAAAAACCCTGAGCCCTCTAAATTAGGTCACCTTTTCAGAGAAGAAAAAGCTCAGCCCATAGTATAATTTGAAATGCTAGTCCCATCTGTAAAACTCCACCAGGAGCTGCACTTAATATTAATTAAGAACAGAAACAGCTTTGTTCTTGAACAGCTTTTCTCTCAATCAAACCCAGGATGCTTCCAAATGGAAACTGGCCAATTTTCCTACACCTGAGATAGTAGATCCAGTACAGAATAATGGGATTTTTGTAAATACCACTATTTGTCAAAGTTCTTAAAGCAGAATCCTCGTATCCCTCAGAGGGAGGTTTCCACCACCCATCACCCAAGAAAAGAAGCTCTTAGTAAATATAAGAATCGGCAAGGAGGCTCACTCACCTGAATGCCAGCTCCACGCAAGTGAGTGTTTTTACACACATGCCCATGCGCACACAGAGTAAAGTTAGCATTCCTTATTTCAGTCTAGGGCCCAACTCCTGGCAGTCTATGCGAACTGCCTCTTCTATTTACTCAGGGAGTATGCTAAAGAGAATGTGTGCCAAAGATCTGAAAGATTTGGGGGTGGGTCATCAACTAAGGTATTTGATAAGCCTCAGCCTGCACTGCCCCAGGCAGTCTGCATGGGCCAATGGTGACAGCAATAATGAGGCTAATCTCAGATTCATATTAAGTATAAACTTTTACCATAAATTGGAGCTAATTAAGCAGAACAAACTCTACTACTGGAAGCTATTTAACTCTTTCTGAGAAAGATGTACACGGAATTTGTGACCTGTGCAGGAAAAGCACTGGACTGACCAAAAGGTCAGCCATTCAAACCCACCAGTCATTCCTCAAAAACTATACACAAGGTCACTATGAGTCAGAACTAAAGACACTTAAGAATACCAACACAAACTTGTTGGACTCCTTTTATGCATTTGATACTTTGCCAGATTTCTGTCCTCTGAGTCTCAATGGGAAATGGTAGCATGGGGAAGGAAAAAAGGATAAGAGTCAGAGAACTGCCTTGAAGTACTGCTTTAGCCCCAGCAGTACCTAAGAGTGTTTCTGATGGATGTTCGTTGTTGAGTGCTGTCGAGTTGATTCCAACCCATAGCAACCCTGTATAGGGTTTCCAAGGAGCAGCTGGTGAGTTTGAACCACGGACCTTACATTTCAAACAACTTTGCAGTCTGATGCATTAGCCCACAGCACCACACTGGGGCTCCGATGTATGTTGTTGTTGTTGTTGTTAAGTGCCATCGAGCCGGTTCTGACCCATAGCGACCATAGCTGCTGGTGAGCTTGAACTGCCAACCTTGCAGTTCAAATGGCTTTGCAGTCTGGCGCATTAACCCACAGCACCACACCAGGACTAGGTACTCAATAAATATCTACTGAATTAATTAGACAATTATTACACTGCATTATAACAGTATGTGACATCAGCAAAAGAATCAAAGGCCTATAGAGGAAAGATGAATTCTACCATGGCAGGTGACGGAAGACATCCCAGAAGCTGCGACATTAGAATGAACCTTCCTTAGAGGAGCAACTTTTCATCAGGCAGTGGCTGCTAGAGGAGGAAAGCCAAGTAGACACTCCATCAAGGTTGGAGCAAATGGCCTGGCCTCCTTCCCAATTCAAATCCTTACAACGGTTCTGTTTCTTAGATTTTGGTGCACTTCATCATCTCCTTCAAACCTTCAATGATAAAAAGCTACAGAGAGAGGAGTTGTTGTGTTTTTCTACCAGGAAATTAGCTGAAAGCAAACAGCAGGTTACAAACAGAAAGATATATTTTGCAGTGTGCTTTTTTATTTACCAGGCAGGCAGCCTGTAAAATTCCAACTTAGACTTCCTGGGAGAGAAAAATAACCTTGCCCCCAAATCCACTAGAACAAATTACTGCCTTTTACTATTCTTATTTCCCTGCTGAAAGTTTTATGGTACTGTAGGATAAGCACTAGACCACAAGGTCTGCAGTTCAAACTCACCAGCTGCTCCTCAGAAACCGTATACAGGGTCACTATAACTTGACAGCACTTAACAATGCAAAAACTGGAATCTTGGTATGACCCTGTGGGCTAAGAACTGGACTGCTTAAACCCACCAATCACTCCTAGGAAACCCAATACAGGATCATTATGAATCAGAACAGACTCAACAGCACTTAACAATATTATTCGATTCCTAGCAGAAAAAGAAAAGGAGATCATCTTAACATTTCATAGTCATTTCTTACTCCAAAAGGAAACACTTGAGGGGAAATGAAGACATTTAAAGGAGAACAGAAACTAAATTCAGAACAAAGTTAAATGAAAACAGAAAAAAGTGAGAAAAAAAATAATGGAAAGTTTTCAAAAGCCCTAAGAATGTGCAGAAATAATTCACTTCCTATCACACTCTCTTCAAAAATAGAAAGGACTGCTATCCAGCCCTAGGACACATAATGTAAAGGGCTTCATGTCAAAAGAAAGCAAGCTACCAAGTCAGGTACGGAGATACATAAGAAGAAATGGGCTCTTCTCACCCTAGCGGTTCACTTACCGGTCTCCTTTCCCCTACTGTTGGAAAAGTCAGACCTAAACCCAAAAACATTAGCTTGGAAGCTCTTTCATGAAACCACATACCAAACACAGAAAGATTAAAATGCTTTTGGCTATGGAATTAAAATTAAAATAGATCCAAATGAGGTAACGGTACCCACAAAAGAAAACCCTAGGTACAATCTAGTATACTTAACTCTTTCGCCTGAGATTGGATGTTCTTGAAAATCAAAATACAAGCTTCCTTTTCCAACCTGTTTAAGAGGTAATGACTAAAACTCTGCTTTTAAGCTTTCCTTCTGTTTCCTAGCACATTTCTCTGCCCACCTCTTCAAACCAGTTTGTGCTTCTGAAAGGGAGATCCCTGGATAATTATCCCATAATGGGCAATAACCACCTCGGACACCGATGAGAACAGCAGCGATGTTAAAATATCCGGTTTGCCTAACAAGTTTTCATAAAGGAATTGCTAATTATGAGCATCTGCATCCCAGAAGAGTAACCTACCTCCCAGCTGCACAACCGCTACCTCTCGCCTTTTAATGCCAACTCATTATGAACTGGTGTAAACTAAGGGTAGGAAAAGCAGGTTAAAAAACGTAAGGAATGCGGTCAGACTCAGACCAAGCGGTCTATGTCATCAACTTTACCACTCGAGCCAATCGAGGCTGAATTCAGAATGCAATGTAGTCGAAGGAGTCTCCTAGTCTCCTAACGGTCAGGCCCAGACTTGGGGCGGAGGGGAAGTTAGTGGCAAGAGTTTACCTTAGAAGGAGGCAGCGAACAGACAAGCCTTTCAGAGCTACCCAGGACTCTAGCCCCGAGGCCCAGGCGGCGCGAAGCGGGAGAAGTGCATGGTTAGAAGCCCCGCGGCGCCACAGGTTCCTCGGAGCGCAGTCGGGCCCGGTTCCCACAGGTGGGGAGCGCTCAACCTCAGGGGCTCGGGCGAGAAGAGAGGCGCTGCGATTCCCCAAAGACCTAGGGGGTAGGGGAAGCCTTGGAGCTGGCGAGGCCGTTTCGCCTTAAGGAAACAGGGTAAAGAGAAGCTTCGGGGTAGCCAGTAGCTTGGTTCTCGCTCCCTCCGCTGGGTGCTTATCCACTTGCGGCAAGCGTCCGGTGGAGAGATGAGCTGTGTGCACCACCATTCTCCCCGCGAGCCTCGGCCTCCTTCCCCGGCGCGGTTAATCCGCACAACCGCGGACCGCCCGCCTGGCTGTTGCATGCGCCCAGTCACGTACGTGCCTGCACAACCAAACGCGGGCGGGGGGAAGGGCGCCCGGGACCCGAAGAGACCTGGCCGCTTCTCTCCCCGGCCAGACCCACACCCCCTTCGGCTCACCCCCAAAGTCCCTCACCCGTGTTTGCCTTGATGTTTTCCCGCAAGAAGTGGCCGCTGGAGAGATGCTGGAGGCCGAAGTTCTGGGCGATCCTCTGGCACACGGTGCCCTTGCCCGAGCCGGGTGGCCCAAGGATGACCGCGCGAAGGAGTTTGGAAGCCATTGCCAACGCGAGGAAGGGTACGGCAAAAAAGACAGCGGCACGAGAGGGAGCCTCGGGAACTTTGTATCTTCTTCCCCTGTCCCTATCACCCGCCGCTCGCGCGTGGACTCACCAGCCACCCTACAGAGGGAAGGACAGACTTTTGAGACAACCCCTCCCCTCAGCCCCGCGCCCAGGAGGAGCAGCGCGCCACCTCCCCGCCCTCGTCAGCCTCCTCGCCCCCACGCAGAGACTCTGCAGCGCTCCAGAGCCCCCGCCCCTAGCGTGGTCAGCCTCACCCGGCAGAGGTCAGCCCCGCCAGCCCCACCTCCAGCCCTGCCTCTATCCTACGCCGCCTGGTTGAGGAGGGGGCTGGGAGGCCATACATCCCTACACTAGTCTCCGCCAAGTCTGGAAAGAGGGAGAATCAAGGCGCGCAACCCACTGCCCCACGCACCAGCGGGCCTCTAGGCTGAGCCCCTGCCCTGGTCCCTGCACGTGGGCAGCGTTTAGTCCGCGCCCTGGTCCCTCCCCCGCGGCTGTCACATCCTTCGGATTCGCAGCGGCAGTCGCTGCTAGTCGGTGGTACGGGCTCGTTGAGGCCAAGCGGGCGACCCAGCGCTCACCTCCGCCGAGGGCTGCCGGGTTGCTCCCCAGCCGCGGGGCTCGCCAGGAGCTGGAGCTCGGCGCCTCTCTACAAAGAGCAGTCAAATAAACACACACCTCAGCTGAGAAGCAGCGCGCCTAGTGGATTCCAGCCCGGATCCTGCTGGGCGGCGCCGCCTCCGCCCGCCCCCACTCTGCGCCCTGGCCGGCCGCGCGGGACTAGCGCCTTACGTAACCGGGGAGACCAGCTTCGCACAGCCACTGGCTGGTGCCCCCTCGTCTTCCCACAGTTCTGCTTCCCGGGACCCCTGGAGCCTGTGGGGGCGAATAGAGGTAGAAAAGACCTAAGGGAGAGAAACTCCTTTTGGGGTGTCTCTATGAATGGAATGGGCATGACGGATGTACTGTTAATGGAAAAGAAGACTTGTTTAGTTCCTACTGTGGGTCAAGTTCGGTGCTAGATGATTTCATTATGCAACAATCTTTCAAGGTAGGATATTTACAGATGAAAAGATGCTTGGAATGCAGCCATTCATTGATTCATTCATTCAACAAATGCTTATTGAGCACTTACTGTGTGCCAGATTCTATTCTAGGCCCCTGGGATATAGTGGTGAACAACAGAAAGCCAGCCCCACCCTCATGGGGGCTGAATTCCAAGAGGGCTTCAAAACACACTTCTACTTGACTCCAAAGTCCAGGTTCCTTGGGAAAGAGGAAGTAAGACAAAGTCTAGAGAGCCTGTGGGAAGGTGAAAGCATTAATCACAATACGTGCCCATTTTATAGTCTGTTTACTGTAAACAGACCACCCATAAGATTTCTGTATTTTACTTCCTTATACAGGACTCCTGGTGTGGTGATGTGAGTTAATGCACTGGAATGCAAAGTCGGTTTGAACTTTGCAGTCAAACTCAACCACCACAACTCGGAAACCCTATATAGGGTCGCTATGAGTCAGAACCGACTCCAGGACACTTAACAAGGGGATAATTGCACCAGTTCTGGTGTGACACTGTAGGACAAGCACTGGGCTGCTAAACACAAGTGGTTCAAATCCACCAGCTGCTCCTTGGAAACCCTATACGGGATCTCGCTGAATCCTGGTCAAAAGGGGAGAAATGGAGAACAGGATTTAAAATTCTCATGGACTCCAGACTTTCTGGATCCATGTAGACTGCATGAAACTACTGCCCTGTAATAATCCTTAAACCTTAAGCCAAAAATGCCCCCTGAACGCATCTTAAAACCAAACAATAATTTAGCTTAACTAGTTAAAATAAGGAGCTCTGGTAGCGTAGTGGTTACGAATTGGGCTGTGAACTGCAAGTTTAGCAGTTCGAAACCACCAGCTTTCCGCGGGAGAAAGATGAGGCTTTCTGCTCCCTTAAAGATTTACAGCCTCGGAAACCCTGTACAGGGTCGCTATGAGTCGGAACCGACTCCACGGCACATAACAACAACAAGTTAAAAAGAATGCTTGCTTTGAATATTGTGTTCTTTCAAGAACTATTTAGAATCAAATTGACAACTTAAAAGATTAAACAGTAGTAACCTTAAGGGGTTATGAGTTCATGGGGGAGGGACCACAAAAAATGAGTATGAGGAATAGTCACAGAACTCGAAAAATGTAATCAATGTCACTGAATTATACATGTTGAATTGGCATATGTTTTGCTCAACAACAATAAAATAATAAAAGGATTACAGTCAAGAAAACCTTATAGAACTGTTCTACTCAGCAACTCAGTGAGTCGCCATGAAATCATAATCCACTCATCTGTAACTAACAACAACAATTTCCCAGATGATGAGTCTGCAGCTCTGGAGTCCAATCCATTCAAATAGAGATATGAAAGATATGTGGGCTCTTGATTCCTCTGCCTACTCTGTGACCTTTGACCCTTAACTGTTCTCTTTGTAAAATGTGGAAGTTGAATTTAGAACATCCACATTGTTGTTGCTGCTGGGAGTCCTAGTAGGGTAAACACTGTTGTTGTTTTTGTTAAGGAGCAACTGGTGAGCTTGATCCACCGACCTTGTAGTTCAAACAGCTTTGCAGTTTGGTGCATTAACTCACAGCTCCACACCAGGACTCACTGTAGGATAAGCTACAAAGTCAGAGGTCCAAAACCAGCAGCCACTCCTCAGAAACCCTATACAGGGAACCTATGAGTCAGAACCAACTGGATGGCACATAACAACAATATTGTTGTTAAGTGCTATCCAGTCAATTCTGACTGTGAGCCATCACAAGTAAAACAGAGCAGACATCCTCATCTTTCTCTCGCGGAACAGCTGTGAGATTAGCAGCCCGATTCGTATCTATCAAAAAATTGATCAAAGTTCACACCCGGCAACACAGCTATTCACCCCCACAAACTGTAGCTCTACTTTGCCCTATCAGCTGATTTGTTTGTTTCTTTTGCCTACTTTTGAAATGCCTGGTAGCGTAGTGGTTACCAATCAGGCTGCGAACCGTAAGGTCAGCTGTTCGAAACTACCAGCTGTTCCGTGGGAGAAATATGAGGCTTTCTGCTCCCCTAAAGAAACCCTGTACAGGGTCGCTATGAGTTGAAGCTGACTCCACGGGCACATAATCACCACCATCATACCAGCATCAGTTTACAGAGTTACAGAAGAGTGCTTGTCACATATTTGACCCCACCCAGACCTTTATGATTGACTTCATTTTTTAGGAGCTTAGATTATGAAACAGAGGCATGGTGACAAGGTAAACTGGTTAGAGAAATCCAGCTGAGACTGGAACCTAAGAGTTCACTACAGAGTCCACAAATAAGTGTCTCCATGCACGGGCACCTCAGAGTGCCAAAGATCAGCTGCTGGAAGGACAGCAGAATAAGAAGAAATTAAATTGGAGTCAAACAGACCTGGTATCAAATTTCAATAACGCCAGTTATTAACTCTGCAAGCCTTTTGATGGCTGTGAGCCTTACTTAGCGTTCTTAACTGTAAAAGGGAAGACAATGCCCATTTCATAACCTTGTGATAAATCTGAAATGAGATAATGTATCATTTAAGGACTTAGCACAATGATGTCCGACTCACAGAGACCCTATATGGGATTTCCAAGGAGCAACTGGTGGGCTTGAGCCCCAGATTTTGCAGTCAGCAATCCAGTGCTTATCCTACAGCACCACACCAGGACCCCTGCACAATGCTGGGTATATAATAAGTATGCAATGAACAGCATTATCACCATTATTAACCATGGGACAATGATTTAGTCTTTCTGATCTGTTACTGAATGGTGAGGAATCAATGAGATACCAAAGCACATAGCAGGTTCCCTGATGCATGAAAGATACTCAGGAAGTAACAGCTGTTCTTATTAGAATCCTGGTGTGGTGCTGCAGGATAATGCGCTGGACCACAAGGTCGGTTTGAACTGCAGAGTTGACAGTTCAAACTCACCAGCTGCTCCTTAGAAACCATATACAAGGTCACTATGAGTACAACTGACTTGATGGCACTTAACAGCAACATTCTTATTAGAAAGGAGCCCTGCTAGTGTAATGGTTAAGGCACTTGACTGCTGGCCAAAAGGTCAGTGATTCAACTCATCAGCCACTCTGCAGGAGAAAGATAACGCCATTTGTTTCAGTAAAGATTTGTTGTTGTTGTTAGGTGCCATCAAGTCGGTATGACTCATAGAGACCCTATGCACAACAGAACAAAATACTGCCAGATCCTGGACCAACCTCACAAGTGTTGCCACGCTTGAGCCCATTGATGCTGCCACTTTGCCAATCCATCTCGTTGGAGGTCTTCCTCTTTTTCTCTGACCCTCCACCTTACTAAACATGATATCCTTCTCTAGCAACTGGTCCCTCCTGACAGTATGTCCAAAGTATGAGAGACAAAGTTTGGCCATCCTGGCCTCCAAGGAGCACTCTGGCTGCACTTCTTTCAACACAGATCTGTTTGTTCTTTTGGCAGCCCATGGCACTTTCAATAATCTCCTCCAACACCATAACTCAAAGAGCCTTGGAAACCCTATGGAGAATGTCTGCCCTGTCCTATGGGGTCACTATGACTTGGAGTAAAATCTGTGGCAGTGGAATGTTTTTATTGGAAGAAGCCCTGGTTAGAATTCAGTTGCTAATTGAAAGTTTGTCAGTTCAAACCTACTCAGCAGCTTCCGTAGGGATCACTCTTCATTCTGTCATGTGGAGTCAGTATGAGTTGGAATTGACTTGATGACACACAACAGCATTCTTATTGGACAGTGAGTGAAAACAAGTTGTTGTTTTGTTATTGAGTGCTATCGAGTCGATTCCAACTCATAGAGACCCTGTATAGGGTTTCTGAGGAACATCTGGTGGGTTTGAACTGCCGACCCTGTTGCAGACTGTGCAGAGGTTCGAGGCCCTATAGGCCTGAGTGTAATAGATCTAGCCACTTGGCAGTTAATAGCAAATTGTTTTTCATCAAATTGTTTAGTCATATTTATTTAAGTCCAAACATGAGCCCTGGATGTCCACAGAGAAATGCAATATTCCCCTAAATTTCTAAGGTCAAGATTTTCCCCCTAGAACCAAGGCAGTAAAACTTCCTCAGAGGACGAACAAGGAAAGGTT